TGTGCGAAACAATCCCACGCCATTTCCACAACCTGTACACACAAACAGTATTACTTTAATTTAACATGAATAGTTAGTATGTGACTACCTTGAAACCGATAACGGTGTCTCTTTTAATAACTGATGATAATAGTGCTCTGCTCTCATCCAGGTTACATTCTTCATGACTAAAGCAACCAAATGTTTAGTGCAGCTTTCAGTTCGGTTGGTGAAAATAATCACTACATGACTGCTCTAGTAACAAGAAAGCTACTTTATGTTGGTCAGGCTTCTTACAGTTTATTTGCGGTCTATTTTGGACATGCTGTAAAATGGGGACATTTTTAGGGACAGGACACCAAAAATCTAGACTGTCCCCAGAAAACGAGAATGTCTGGTCACCCTAGTATACATCGGATAGCCATATCTAGAGACCAAGGGCTTATATCATTATAGTAGCTGAACAAACCTAGGTCACTGGATTAGTTTCAAGTTGACAAAACCAAACCAATCCATTCAGGCTTTGTTGGTACCATGACACTGATCATGAAATAAAGTTGTTTCTTTGTCAACTCAGGCTTTAATCTTGAGTTCATGAATAAGTATCGAGCACATGCACATAAAAGTGCAACATCAGTAATGACCAGCCAATCACATGCCTTCAAACATCTACGATTCACAATTCACTTCTCACAAAAGAGTCATCACGATTCCATTCTCACTTTGGCCGAAGATTAAGAGATTGAAAAATTTGAAGAATTTAAACATATTAACATAGCAAGAAGAAAGGACTTGTCAATGAAAGAGGACAAATCATTGTTGTCTTTAACATTTTAGTAGTCACCATTAATTTGGAGCAAGAGAATCTGGGGGACTTTCATGTAGAGGTCTGCACGGGACTGTTTTTTTAGTCCAGCTCCCGCAAGGTTATATTCTGCACCCACCCGCTCCCGCTATATATTCACTCTTTGTTCACCCGCTGTCCGCTTATAATAAGTTTCTTCCCGACCCGACCGTTCCCGCTAAATTTAGATCTCGTTTCCAGAATCTCACATTTAAATTTCCGATACTGAAAGAAAGAGAGATAGGCTGACAAATAAATGTGTAGTCTGCACAAAATTGTATGTTATTTTATTCGTCTTGTCAAGAGTCTTGAGTTTATTGACTTTGACTTGAATTTATATGAATTATCTTAAGACACAAAATTCGTTTAATATTTTAAGCAACACAGTAGGAAAAAAAGCGTCAGAGAAAATAAAAATGTACAAAAATTGTATTTCTTATTTTTATTCGTCTTGTCAGGATACAATTCGTTTAACATTGACAACACAATAGGGAAAAAGTGTCGCAGAGAGAAAAAAAATAAAAATGTAGGTTGTACAAAAATAGCCTATTAGCTATTTTTATTCGTCTTGTCAAAATACTAAATTCGTTTGACATTTTTCTGTTAACACAGTAGGAAAAGTGTCGCAGAGAAAAATAAATAAATACGACATCTGTCATTTAAAATTATAGGCTAAGCAAAATATAAACAAAACCGAGTTGAACGTCCTTCAAGGACAACGCATCCACACTTTGCTCCATCCTTATTCTGCTCTGTCACTCATCGACAACCTGCCTGTTCTGTCTGAGGGCCGTATATTTACAGCCTGCTCTGAGCATCGTTATGCACATGCTGCACACAGACCACGCAAATAAAACGCGTGACGTTTAAAGCATG